TGAATGGGGACTGATTTACCAGGTCACTGAGAGACAAATAAGCAAGCAGTGTTTTGCTCTGCTCTACACAGTACTGTTAAGTGCTGTTCCGAGTAACACCTCTGTGGTGGGACTGGTGGAAACTTGAGCTTGCCTTTCCACCTCACTGTTTTTTGGGGTGGGGTTTTTTTTTTTTTTTTTGAAAGCAAAGGAGGAAGATTTCTGCAGTGGTGCTGAAGACAGCTGATTTTTATCTTTTTCATTCACAGTTAATTTCTGTGAGAGTCTTGGATTATGGTTCTCCAAATATAAAAATAGTTTTAAAAATAATGAGATATAATGAGAATAAAAAATAATGCTTTAAAAAGTAATAGCAACTTACTGATTTAATCTTTTTTCTTCTTATAGAACAGCATGACAGTCTGCTAGCATAGCAGAAAACATTATCTCTGGAATAAGTTTTAGAATGGTTAATTCTATATTTTCTTTTTTCGTCTCTGTAGTCTAAAAATCTGTCCAGATTTTAGGTGCTTGGCATCCAAGCATTTGGAAATTTTTTTAACCTAGTTTCTATTTCAAGTCTTCGTTTCAGTCTGATATTATGAATCTAGTATATATGCGTCCTTCAAGAACTGGAGAAACTGCTTTTTCATTGTTGGCAGCCACAGTCCTGCTCCCTCTCTAATTCTGGAGGAGAAGAATTAAGCAGTAGTTGCAACAAGTCACGTTCTGGGGATTGCATCAAGATGTACTTGGCACTGCTGAAAAGCCACGTTGGCACGATGCAAACCTTGGCAAACCATGGGATTCCTTTGCCCTGGTTTTTGTACAGTTACATCAGAGTCTCTTTTGTGAGCTTTTGGGGCTGTGACGATTTGCTCCAATTCAGGACGCTTGCTGAGGGTTTATCTCGCTTAAGATGAAAGAAAACTTTGTGCCCTGTACTCACTGATTAAAACTGGCAAGAGTAGCGTGAGCACCGCATCTCTGAAGCCTTCTGTGTATGGAGCAGCAGCCAAGCCTTTCTCCGTGCTTGTTTGCATTTTTTGAACCGACATGTTTTCTTTGGCTCTTGACTCAGTACAGTTAACAAATAGATGTTTTGCCCCTGAAAGAGAGATTTGTTTTTCTTATTGCCTGGTTAATCCATTCTGAAGATTACTTTTAAATACAATTTACTATTATCTAAAACAAGTCTATTTATACCACAGCACTTTAAAACACTTCTATATTTTACTTCCCTGTTCAGCTGTTAAAAAATATTTTAGTTTGCTGTTGCAAAAGACAGAATTCAAAAAATTGACTCAATTTCATTTTCATGCATGAAAAGGAAAATGCTAAGGAAAATTAAATGGTTTGGTAATCCTCTAAAACCGAAGGGATTATATTTTCCTCCTGTTTTCTCCTTTGTAGAAACTTGGTGTTAAAAATATCATCATTCTTTAACTTTAGCAAGAAGAACCACATGTTAATTTAGGGTACAGCAGAGTATGGTTTCTTGCTTATAAGGAAAGTTTTATTCTGGCTTATGGCTTCTGTAGTTCATAGTTAATATTTAGATTAGCAATTAAATAGGCATATCCAAATGCAATGCATGTTAAAGCAGGAGTACAGTGACCTTATAGAGCGTGTTTGTGGAGCTTTTTCTTCACAGTTATTTAGAGCAAAATCTTGCTCCCTTTTTTTTTTTTTTCCCAGCTGTGTAGAGTTTTGGAGATTTAGGTAATTATATCCCTGCTTAAATTGTGACTATGGCAGAACTAACTTTCCACGCTTTTGTGGGTGAAATTGGAAAGCAACTAAAATATTTTTAAAGTCCCTTAGTGGGTTTTGTAATATTTCAGTCGTACTTAGTCCAGTAGCCAAGTTTTTAAATCCGAAGTTCACAGCCTTCTAAAGTGTGTAGTCACATTATTATGCTGTTCAGACACCCTTTTTGAAATTTGCTTTGGATGTTGCTGCAGCCAAGCTGATAACCCTGAAGTTTTTTGTTGCTTCTTTTGTTTTGTGTAAAAACTTTAGGATGAGTATGTATAGGTGTACTCTGGATGTATAGCTAGCTTAGGTAATCACCAAGGATATGTCTGTCTTGCCTGTTTACAGACTATATTTGGTCAACGAGCATAGTACACTTGCTTAGTTTTCTTCTGGTGTTAGATGAACTGAGAAAATGATTTTGTGCTCTGAAATTTCCTTTATAACAATGCATTTCTCTTTGGTAAGAGTATATTCGTATGTTTGCACTAGGTGACTATTTATGAAGGTAAATGCTTGAGAAATTAAAGTGTAATAAATACCTTTGGTATTTTGCATTAGCAACTTTTTTTAGATGTAGTTTGCAGTGAAAGACAAGATTGATCGTGTTTGCTGGTTTTCTGCATACTGGTGTCAAATTGATAGATTTGGACCTGATGTCTTTGCTGTCTTTCTGTTTACTGTACAAGGTGTGACACAGGGTGGCCGCAGTGTAGCTGTTTACCTTCATCTGCCACATCATCGTTATGAGAAGGCACTAGCCTCTGAGTTTGTCATGTTCATCCCAGGGAAGGAGGTAGCAGGGCCAGGCATGTAGGGCTGGGTTTGGAGGAGTGCATTTGTAGGACTGTTGGTGCAGCTGCAGTGTTAGATGCAGAGTTAAAGTGATTTGACCAAGGTAGAGGAGGAAGTTGGTGCCAAAACCACAATGGGAACGAAAGGATTTCTGACTTGTGCTGCGCTTGAAACATTCCTCAAGCTCCAAAGGACTTGGAGTCACCTCATGTGCTTTTCTTTAAGTAGGTGGTCAGATAAAATTACAAACCTACTGCATAAACATAGCAAGGAAAGGTACTATCTCAGCTTTTTCACTTTGTAAATCAAGACTTGACCCAGTGACTGATAACCACTTACAATTTTTAAGTAGTCGGAACTATTAGGATGGGGTATATAGCTTGTATCTAATTTGGTGATTGTTACACATCTCATTGCACAGTGTAACACTTCAGGAAGTGCCTTGGAGACTTTGAGACAGTCTTATTTCCAAACATGACAAAATTACCTTTGAAAACAGTACATGAATACCTGACCAAAGCCCTGTTCGGCATTTTACCCAAGAGTCTCTCTACTGCTCTGCTTTCTGTGCATGAAGAGTATGCTGTATTGCCAGATTACACACTGAACATGGAATAGGCCTGTCACTGGCAAGATGTTATTCCCTGTATTTTTCTGTTGTAATGCGAAGGTAAGTGTGGTTGTCACTGTTGACTGATGTTAACTTGTACTAATTCAAAGGAGTCTGTGCCTGTTTTGCACGTTTCAGAAATATGGCTACACGCACCTTTCTGCTGGTGACCTCCTTCGAGATGAACGAAAAAGGCCAGGATCACAGTATGGAGAACTCATTGAGAACTACATTAAGGAGGGGGAAATCGTACCAGTTGAAATAACAATCAGCTTGCTGAAGAGGGTGAGGAAAGGACTATTTCCTTGCTTGTTCATGCTTGCAGACTAAGCAAAGCGGTGGCCGTATTCTGGAAGAATTGCCTTTCCTCCAGTGTGAGTAGTATGAAATGGCAGACACGTAGGTGTGCATTGCGTACTGGACTTCTCTTAGCAGTTACTTATGTTTCTTTCTGGCTAGTTGGAGGGCAGTAGGTGATGGTCGCTGATACCTGGGGATCTGTGAGAATGGATTATTTTTATCTTATTTTTATAGTAGCTCTAGGGAAATCAGTGAAAGTCTGTGTTTCTTATTTCCCTTAACTAGCTTTTGGACCTCTTGGTCAACTCAGTCATATTTCATTGGAGGGTAGAGGCATTAAAGGTACTAAGTTTCTGTAAGTTTTATCAAAATAGATAGCCAGGAGAAGAGCACCTGCTCTGTGGAAGGAAAAGCTCCAGCATTTATAATTATTAGATGCCCAGGAAAACATCCAGGAAAACAACCAGAGTATCTCCTTTAAGACAGAAAAGGCTTCTGTTGCTCATGGTGCTAAGTTTATGTGGAGTTTTTTCCATTAAAATTAGCTAGAACAGGGATGTTTGGGCATCTTATTGTGTAACAGCACTCCCCAGTATCTTGTAGAAAATCAACTTTAAAGCTGGGATTGTGTTTTGTGACGTTTTGAGCTTTATGAAATAATGAATTCAGTTTGAAAGAAGGCTATATTGGTGCATCGGTGAATTAAATAGCATGCATCGAAGGTGAAACAAAAGTACATTTTGTAAATCTGCATTAATCCTGAAATAAATGCTTCTCAGCTTACCATGTCAACATTTTGGGGGTAATTTAATAAGAGTAGATAAATGGCTGTATGTGCAGGAGATCATGAATTGAATTCTCTTTTATCAGGCTATGGATCAAACAATGGCTGCCAATTCCCAGAAGAACAAGTTCTTGATTGATGGATTTCCCAGGAATGAAGATAATCTGCAAGGCTGGAATAAGACTATGGATGGGAAGGCGGATGTTTCTTTTGTTCTCTTTTTTGATTGTGACAATGAGGTAATGAAGTGTGTTATTTTGTAACTTCTCTTCATGCTATATTGTGAGAATCATTCAAGAAGAACAACAAAACTGTCAGGTAGTGAATGGACTAGTGTAAGGGTACAAAGGTAGCTTGGGCTGTGAGTTTCAAGGATTTTTTGGCAACTTGTTTTTGCAAATGAAAAGCTGTGTGTTTTTGAAACAGCAGGCAGCTAATTCTGCTTGGTATAATCATGTGCAAATAAATGATGTTGAGGAAGTACTTGGGCAATTGCATTCTTAAGGAAAATTTATAAAAACTGTAAACATACAAAATTATTTGGTTATTTTTCAGAAAAGCGTTACTCTATTTACTCTTAGTAACTGTTGTTTAGCCCAAAATGAACTTTATAGCAATGTCTGCTTTAATTCTAAAGTGCTAGCAGCAGCAGTCTTTATTTTCATAGTTATGAGCTGTGCTATAGGTTAGCTAGTAATCAACATTTTATTCAGCAAGTCATTAGATTACAAAGGCATTTTGACAGTGACACATTATATTAATTTAACAAGTGCTGTGATATACTGTCTTTTTTATGTGTCAGTGCCCTTGAGGCATAAAAACCCCAGCACCTTAAGCTGACTTTCTTCCTTTTCCCCAAGTTCATGAGAAATGTTGTTTACTTTTTTTTTTACTTAATTGCAATTATGTTTTAATCTCAAAGAACAAGTGAGGGGTTATTTTTTTTTCTAGTTAAAAACTTAAATAAGATTAAATTATTTTTTTCACTTGTTGGGGTGTTAATTTTGAGTTTCTAATTTTTTTACTAGATCGAAAAATAGACAACAATGCCTACATGATCTTCTGGATTTTTGTTTACTAGGGGTGTACTTTGTGGGAAAACATAATTTTTAACCATTGTCCTCTTGCATGAGTAAGGTAAATATATACATGAAGTGTACATGTGTCAGTGTTGCTTACTTTCTGTTTCAAAACTTAGTTCACTGGGAAGCTTTTAACTATGGTTAGTTCTTCAGGTTTTACTTAGATATTGATTTTTAAGTCTTTTATAGCAATGTCAAGTCAAGTAAGAATATTTTAACTTAGTATGTAGCCTTACAAAATTCTTGGGAGAACACACTGACTTTCAGTGCAGGCGTATGTTAGTAGTCTAGTCTGATATGCTGCTCTTCAAACAGTCAACACATCCTTGAAAATCAGGTAATTTTCTTCTTTAAATGTCTCAAGTTGGAGACCCTGTTGAACCACAGAGCTTGATGTTACTTTTATTTCCACTGACCCCAATCCCATTTTAAGACCCCTCATTTTAATAAACTGATGAAGCATAAAACTGTCTTTCTTTTTCGCTGGAGAATCTAACTTTCCCTGTGGATTCTGGTTACATCTGCCAGATCTGGACAGTATTTTTTGTCAGGCCTATTTAGATTTTCAGGACTTTTGTTTTGTTCCTTCTTTCACAATAGCACCTTGTGTTCTTGGTTGTGATCATCCTTTTGATGTTTTTTGTAGATATGTATTGGCCGCTGTCTTGAAAGAGGCAAGAGCAGTGGCAGGAGTGATGATAATCGGGAGAGTCTGGAAAAGAGGTACCATCTTCAAAACTTTTCAGTTTTCTTCTGTTTATGCTTTACCATGTAATGCTTTTCCCCCCTTTGCTTTCTCCTAGAATTCATACGTATTTGCAGTCTACTAAGCCTATAATAGATTTGTATGAGAGAATGGGAAAAGTCAGAAAAGTGGATGCCTCTAAATCTGTTGATGAAGTAAGTATATAAGCCAAAAAACCATGGGGATGACAGTGGCAGGGTACGTATTTTTAGCATTCTTCTGAGATGTGCGTATCTGTGGTTAGTGTGCTAGTTAAGCACTGATGTGTACTGCTGAAGGCAGTTGTGGAACTCTTGTTTTGACTCTTGAAGAACTGATTGAGATGTGAATAACTTTAATAAATCAGTTCTGCTTGAATGTGAACAGGACTAAACACATTTTTAGTGTTTCTGTGTTTAACAGTGTCTTTTTCACTTTCACTTGCTTTCGTTTTTCTGAAGTAGTATTGCTCTTCTCAGTTACCTAGAATTGGTGCCAATTTCACTATTAAAGAATTACAGTGAATGTTCTAAGAAAAAACCTATATTTTTTAAAATACTGTCAATTATTGTTGTGCTGGTTTAACTTGAAGTATCTGTTTGACTAACACTTCATAAAATTAATATTATTCTCTCTCTTTTTAGGTTTTTGAAAAAGTTGTACAAATTTTTGACAAAGAAGGCTAATTCCCAGCTTGAAAGTTCATTTAAACTTGTGCTTGAATCTTGCTTAAATAGCTGCTACTGCAGTCCACTCTTTGTAATTGTTTTAAAAGATTTTTTAATTGTTTTTCACATATCTAATGATGATTGTAAAAGCAGTTAATTACAAATGGATCTGTTTTTTAAATAGGAAATAATTTCTTGTGGCTGTAGTATACAAATTTCAGGGTTCTCCATTAGTACAAGTTCAGTTACTCACATGGCAAAACCACAGTTAAAACATCTCTCTGAAGAGACTATTTATTCTATCACAGTTCTGTGCCTGTCGTGGGCAGCCCCTCTTATTCCTTGTTGCCACACACCTATTTTATTTTTTATTTTTTTAAGGATCAGCTAAACAGCAGCATTAAGCAATGAGGGACCCGTGTGCCCTTGTTTGTTTTTTGGATGCTTGGACCAAATTAGCAGATATTTTTTTAGTATAATTTTGTCACGAAGTTCCCTGTTGTCCCCAAACCTGAATTCTCTAAGTCAAGCTAGAGTTACTATGAGAATCTGTTTTAGCAGTTCTCACAAAACTGTTTAATATGCTGTTCAGCAATAGAAATACAAAGTACTTAATGGAAAGTGGTGCTTTCTTATAACTCTGGATGTAAACTGTCTTGTAAGTTCTTGAGTACCTGGATTACAAGGCCCTGGGCTTTAACCTTGTCTTAATTTGCAAAACATTAAGAATATCATTTCAGTCAGGTCAGTATTTCCATATGCATTTATTTTAAATAATAGTTATATTCTGAATTACAGCATGGTCTTCACAAGATGGCAAAACTCTTAAATAGTGTACAATAAGCAAAAGCTTCTAATAGTTCCGTCTTTTGTAACAAGTGGAAGGGATTTTCTCTATTATTATTATTGAAATACTGTGTTGCTGAATGCTTTAAGGTTTGTTAGCTGGGGAAATATTTTTATGGTTAAACTAGTGAATGTATTTCCCTAAAATTGTATAAATTTAATAGCTGTTTGTTTGAAAAGATTGTAAATTGTTGCACTTCTGTTATAACGAGCTGAGGGGAAGATACCTGCAGAAAAAAGTTCCATTCCCTTAAACAAATTGGGTCCTGCTTCATCATGTTCTCTTGAATTAGCCAAGTACAGTCAGCAGCAATAGCTGGGATAAGCAGATAACTAGTTGAACCGAACTGGTTTAAGTGTTTGCACAGATGTGGTGTAATTCTGCCTTTTGTTTAAAGTAACCTTTTCTCTCCCCTATGTACTATGCATAGATCTGGGGGCGCCCAACCATGCGTTCCTTTCATGCCCTAAGCTCTCACTGAAGAAGGCTTCAGAAGGCTTGAAGATGAGTGTTTTAACTAATTTTAGTGAAAGAGTGGTTCTTCCTACGTTAACTGACACTGTAATTGGTTTGTGATATGCTAATAGATGTGGCAAATTACAGGGAATTGTGATTTTGAAATCTTGGGGTTCAGCTTTTCTTTACTGATGACTTTCTCTATTTAGGAAAAGCTTTCAATTAAGCCTGGCTTCTAATTAGAATCAGACATGTTGGTCCTTATCCTGCAATCTGATCTGTGCAGGCAGATTTGTATTTACATAAATTCTCATCTCACTGAGGTTCTTGAGTCTGCTGAACTGGGGAAGAGATGGGTACAGAAACAAAGGGTAAACTACAGCATCTTTTCCAGTATGGTAAGAGTTCAAACAATGGACTGAGCACAAATAGCTGTTTACTACTGCAGAATATATGGACCATGACTACTTTTGTGAGGGTGGGAGGCTAATGCTTTCACTCTATGAATTTCCTCTTAAAAAAAAAAAAAGAAATCATGGAATTTAATTCTTATTGTGTAAGTGTGCTGACATAGGCTAGGATCCAGTGAAACTGCGTGTTTTGATATGAAGGTTAGAATCAGGGTTTTTCCAAAAAGACTTTAAACGGATTCTTTAATCTAATTAGAGAGATTTCATTATCTTTTGTTTCTAAGTTACTGGTTTTTACAAGTTCTGTTCAGAATAGAGTATCTGTTTTCTCTCATCATATACTTTTCTGTGTATTTAAGTGCTGAAACAAAGAAGAAAAAAAAAACCCTTTGGAGCAAGTTTTTAGAGGAAACCAACGTTTTGGCAATATTGAATTTGGAGTGGATTGTAATGTGTCTGTGCAAAGACTAGGTTTTTTTGTCATTTATTTATTGAAGATGCCATTAAATGTGTTACCAATTCTTTCAAGTTGGACTTACGATTGAAATAAAGATTAAAGGCAATATGCCACTGTGTTGTGTCTGTTTAGCAGCAAAACTGTACAAAGAATTTGAGGAGATCCAATAAACTTTGTTCTGCAGCTTAGTATGAGTGCTTTGCTTGAAGTTATCTGTCACAAAGGATATTCTTCATATATATCTCTCTATATAAAGTGTGTATTTATTAGTGTTAGATACCTTGTGTGGCTGCATACACACAGGTATTTTTATGAAAGTTCAGTTTTCACGATCAAAACTGAAGTCCTGAAGACCCTGTTACATACAGGATAAACAAATGCCTGTGGAATTGGTATCTTTTCTTGATTGTATAGGTTTGTCAAATTAGTTGTATAGTTGTGCAGTGATAATTCATTTGGCACATCTGTGAAAGAAAGGGGACTTGAAGTGGATTAGGAAACACAAACCTATTGCACAGCTGCTGCTGGAGATGCTTTTTGTCTTGATTTCTCATGCTTCCGTGCTCAGTCACCAGCTGATTCCCTGAATGCCATTCTGCTGCTTTGCAGCACATGCCTACGTGCTGTACTCCAGACTCTATTCTTGAAGGAGATTGGCACAACATAATATTCTGTATAAAAAACTGGGAGATCACTGGGGTTATTTAAAAATAAGTCTTCACATTTTGCATAAAGGTTTGTCACAAAATGGGTTGTTTATTCACATGTGGGTTTCCAGTTGAAACTGAAACCTTACTGGGGAAAGATTTGCAGAGCTGGCCTGAAAGGGGTGAGAGGAAAGCAGGGGATTTTCCAGCAGTGGTAGGTATCTTTCTGCTGGTAAATCTACATAGACAAACTGTTTTGCTGAAACCTCACCCTGAGGTTGTAGCATCTCCTTGGGGACTGATTGATGGGGGCAAGGCTCTGGTAGCTTGCCCCAAAGCAAGCTTCCCACTCCCACAAGTGGGAGACTTGAACAGAAGATCCCTGCCCAAAAGGTGCCAATTTGATGGAGTGGGAGCAGATAGAGAAGACCATAAGCGTGCGGTTGAGGATTGCCTCAGTGTAAGATATTCCCTACTAGCTGCATTTGTCCTTCATAGGAAGAGATGGTTCATGAGGGAGTTCTAAGGTCTTGTGCAAAGTGCCATGTCTTACAACAGCAGGGACATCTGTGTGCCTCTGCCCATGCTGAACTGGGGAGAATGGGAGAGTTAAATGTAAAAAAACCTAAATTCACGCTAGAGCTGCCAACTATCGTTACCGGTTGGCAGTTTCTAGCTGCCAGCATTTAGGAAAGTTGCAGCTTAGGGGATTACTTTTCTGCTTAGTTTGAAGTTCAATACCAGTTTGGTCCCTGTTGTGATACAGATGTCTCTGAATGCTATGATCTGTGACTATGCAGCTGGCCTTCTGCGGGGGGGCGGGGGGCAGCAAGACTTGGCCCGAATCAGGTTATTTCTTCAAGATGCAGTGCAGCAGGACTTGTTGACTGGGCACCTGGGGCTGTGTGCTTGCCACAGTCCAAAGATCCCGGGGTTTTAACAGCTAATAAAACCACAAGGTGATGCAAAGAGGATTCAGCTAATCAGGTAACAAAGGAGACAGTAACAGAAATATTAAGACTTTCGGTTTTGTATAGCAGCAGTTCTCACTCTTTTGGTCTGCAGACCTTTATAAATCTTCCAGTGGAGATAGTGGGGGATAGATAAATTTAATCTGGCTAGTCTCTGCTGTTTCTCATGGGTTGCTTAGTTTAAGGTAGTAGTTTTCAGTCTGGTCTGTAGAGTATTTCTGTTGGTAACAATAGGCACCTTTATTGAGTCTTTTAATCTGCTCGGCTGATGTATTCTCTATCCTCTATGCTTTCTGCCTTTTAATGTCTTTTCCTTACCTTTCTGAGTTGCAGATGCTCTTTAGGATGGGGAAATCTCCATGTGCCTTGCAAAGGACACAAAATCCTTAAATACCTTTGTCTGGAGCAATCAGAATCTATTTCTGCCAAGGAACTTGGTACATAATCTGTAACAACACTGATGTATAGCACGTTGTGCTGCTTTTTTTTTTTTTTTTCCAACTACTGAAAATCTCAGTGTAGTAGCTCTGCTCTTTTCTCCTACATGGGTGAGATCAGATGTGTCTGTCTTGCTTCAGCACAGTGCTTAGCAGCAGTTGTGTGAAAAACAACTCCTCAATTACTAGATGTTAAACTAGCAATGACCTGTTATGCTTCAATGGAAACAAGTGAGATGATTGAGGAGGGGAGGAAAGATGCTTAAAGAAGCTCAGTCAATTCTGCTTCACTAGTCAGACTTCAGCTTTAGATATGTATCCGTTCCGCATAGCAGCAATGCTTGTATTTAGTCTAGCTATTTCATTATTATGTTGTATAGAAATTCATGCAAAAGCACTCCCTGCCTAGAAGTTGCCCGTCTCCCCATGTCAACTCGTGCCACCTTGAATTCCAGGGGTTTTGGAGACAGGAATTTGTCTTTGGGGTGGAACTGTAGAAGCTAAACTGGGCAGGATGAAGGCAAATTGAGCTGTGCTTGTGAAGAACAAGACGCACATATTATTTCACTGTAGGAAGCAATGCCAGGCTATTTTGTCATCCTGGTTTACAACTGCATTCAGACAGCAAAACAGAAATTTTCTCTTCCCCCTCAAATGTTTGGCAGAAAGCTTGCTTTTGTCTAAAATGCTTCTTAAGCACTGTGTGAACCATTCAGTCCTAAACCAAATACCAGTCTGAGTTGTGCTTTTTCTTTCTAATTTACAAATAGGAGGGTTTGGTTTAGTTTCTTGTAACAGCTGCTGCAGCGAGACAACTCTTGGAAAATACAAGGCGCCATCCAAAAGATATTATCTGCTTTGTTCTGGAGGGCTTTTTAGCACAATGCAGTTTCTTTGTGGTAAGAAATGGCAAAGATTGCTGTGCAACTACCAAAGTGTAACTGTGTGTGGATGGTACATGGCAATGCTATCTTGTACAACTTTTGTGCTCAGCACGCACTTTTGTTTAGTGCCATGAGATGTGAAAGGAAATTTTAGGATAGGTTCTCAATTGGATCAAGTCTTAGGAGTGAAGCGTAATCTATCGTGGAGGTCTTCAGGGACTATCAGGATCTATCAAGGTATTTGGAGGATGTAATACTTAGTGGTTCTCCTTCCTGACTGAGCATACATGTATCTCTTTAGGTTGCTGTTTGGGGCATTACTCCTGTTGTCTTCTTAAACTAGAATCAGCTGAAGTCCCCAGCTATGGTCACGAAGTAACCTGAGGTCTGTGTTACGTTCTAACCCAAATACCTC